TAGTTTTGTCAATTTTTTCAATTGTTTCTTTTGTTTCGATTTCATTGATTTCAGCTCTGATTTTAATTATTTCTTGCCTTCTACTTCTTTTGCTGTTGTTTTGCTCTTCTTTTTCTAGGATTTTGAGATGAAGTATGAGATCATTTATTTGTTGGTTTTTTCTTTTTTTAAGGAATGAACTCCAAGCAATGCATTTTCCTCTTAGAACTGCTTTCAATGTGTCCCATAGATTCCGATATGTTGTGTCTGTGTTTTCATTAATCTCTAAGAATTTTTTAATTTCCTCCTTGATGTCTTCTATAACCCATTGATCATTCAGTAACCTATTGTTCATTCTCCAAGTGATATATTCTTTTTCCTTCCTTCTTTTATCGTTGATTTTCAGTTCCATTCCATTATGATCAGATAGGATGCATGGTATTATCTCTACTCCTTTGTATTGTCTAAGAGTTTCCCTGTGACATAATATATGATCTATTTTTTCAGTTTGCTAGAATTCTAATAAATTTTTCATAACTTGTTCATGCAAAAGGTAGCTCCAACTACTCAGGAGGTAGAGGCAGGAGAGTCCTTCTGAGTTTGGGGCCAACCTTTCTAAGTTCTGGGCAGCAGAGTGAGACCTCATCTCAAAGGCACCAAAAAACCAAACCAGACAACAACAAAAATGAAGCAAGGTTCACCTCTACAAAAAGCATTTAGACCCCGAGACCTGTACTAATTTGTAAGTGTCCTCTACTCTGGTGGTGGTCTATGATATTGCAAGGAAGACTCTACAGTGACAGAGTCTGGTGTTCAAGTGGCCCAGTTCTTCTCATAGTGCTATGCAGTATTTGTTGGCTTTATACAAAGTTATCTCAGAGCTTTCATTTGGATACTGCTGTCAGTGCTCCCTCCTTCCACCCTCTCCAGGCAAATGATCAACCTGAAGGTAATATTTTTAAAGGACAGAGAAGCAGAAAATGACTCATGTAGCAAATGGAACCTAAATTGCATATTTCAGTTTGATTCTCTAAATATATAGACATATATAAAATCTTTTTCTATCTAGTGAGAAAAACAACATGATTTCATGGACACCATAGTTTACTTAAAGAACCTCATGATTTGTGAAGGTTGATGGTTGGTAAGGACTGAGAGAAGTATTTTCTGTCAACTTATCCAATGAACCTGTTCTTTCTTGCCCTCCTCCCATGTCAAATTGAGCTGTCCTGTGTGGGTTTTTTGTTAGTGTTGCTGGTACACTGTGGGTGATACACAGCAGTTTTTCCCTCACTACATCTTCATCTGCTGTAAGATGGCTAAACATCAAAAATGACAGAATTTACTAAATTGTTGATTTCTAGTTTTTCTGAAAGCTAATGTTCATAGCATACACTAACAGTAGCCTGAGTTTTAGAGAAAAAAAAAAAATAGATACCTATTTTAGCATGTTTCCTCCTGAAATCAATCTCCATCTTTGTACCACACTTGCCTTCTTTATTTAGCAAAAGAATCTCCTGTATATTCTCTCCAGCTATTGATAAAACAAGGAAGCCAGAAGGAAAAGAAAGGCTTCTAATTACAAAATATTTCAAATTGCTCTAAATAGTAAATGGAGCTTAGATTTTAATTATGTATGGTAAGACCTGGAAGGATATTAGTGAAAATCCTACAGTCTATATAGTTTAAAAAGAAATCATTTGAGTCTTAGTGTTATATCCCATTTCTAAAGATGATACGTGCTTCTAAAAACATCAGCTGCCCCCTTCTCCATGCACCCCCATACATAAAGTACTGTACTATCAGATTTACAATGAACATTAAAAGATTTGGTTTTCAGTTTTCTCATCTACAATTTTAAGCTATCATATGTAGTCCTTTGATAATATAGTGCCTAGCTACATCAATTGAAAGAGCCAGGTCAGAAAGGAAAAAGAAAATTAACCAAGGCATGGTTCCACCATTTGATAAATATTCAGTTGAGAAATTTTAGAGAACCTAGTCATGAATGTTCAGAAGTAATATTTGGCTCAATTTTAAATCAGTGCCCTTGACTAAATTATTTTAATAATACAAGTAAATTTGTGGCGTTGTTTTTTCCTCTCAATTTTATACTTGGTTATGAATCCTTGAATCATATTAAGACATAATTCACATAGGTTTAAAAAAATACTTTGGAATCAATATGCAATTTTGCTAAAATAGTACGTGTCCTCTTTTATAGTTCTCCAACTAATATCCATTGATTGTTACAACCTAATTTAAGAGAAAATTGTATACCAAATATGTAGATAATATAAAGGGTTTGAGACAAAAGTTTAAGGAGAAAATAACTCAAGAAAATGCAATAGATATTACTCTTATTTTCACGGTATTCACTGTGACGCTCTACCAAATAGAAAGATGCATAAAATGCAAAGAGGACTAACTGTAAGCATCCTTTCATGGGAATTTTTAGGTTTCCTACAGCTTCATTTTATTGAAGTAAGAGGGAATTTTTTCAAGTATTTATGGAAACAAAGTATACATTTCCATGTGCAAAGGATCAAGGATTGTAACACTAGAAGCCTAGTGTTTATGGATATGTGTGTATTGACAAAACATCACAGTGTTTACAAAGCAAAACAGAGGTATCTGATATACTAAGAAGTGAGTATGTACCCCAACTATTTTAATATTTTCCTTTGTTAAATGGAAAAATAAGAAAACTTGGCAAAACTGCCAACTTCATCTTCTTGTTTAGAGCATACATTCATAGGAGGATTTTCAAGTTTCTTCATATATTCCAGGCACACTGCTGCTGAAGAGAAACTAAAAATCATTTATTCTTTTCTTCCTGTTAATGTTGTCTCTTTTTGACCACATACATTAATTTAATATCTTCTGTCTCTTGATCTCTTGGAAAGGGTGTCAATAAATTAATTTATTTCAGTGGCCAGAGAACTTGGACTTAGTTAAGCCCCAAGAATTTTCATTCTGCTTAAATATTCTGAATGCATTTCTCTCTTAAATGTGTTAGATATTTGCCTTTAAAACATACATTCCACACAGAATTTAATGTTTTATTGATAACTCAGCTTAAATTTTTATAGCATTCCATCAAAATAGTGATGACATAAAGGTGTGCTGATGAAGGCAAGGCTTTGATACCATGTGTTTCCCAGAAACTGATGTCTATCTTGAGGGGAGTTTCTGGTCAATGTTTAGAATGTTGTCGTCGCCTTTCTAATAACCATTTGTTTGTATTAATCTTAGTTGTCTTTGTTACACCTTTGTATTCCTCCAGATTTCTTTTCCTGTCTTTCTGTCTTTCTTATGTTTTGTTTCCAGCTAGTATATTTGAAAAACTACATAATCATCATTGTTAAAATTGTGGAATTGTATTTCTAGAATTCAGAGTATGTGGGCTCTGGTGTAATTAAAGTGCTTGAGTTCAATATGTAAGCAGATTTATAATATTCATTGTTCTAATTTATAGTATAAAAATACTTGCAAAGAACTGGGCATGTTGGTGCACACCTGTAATCCCAGCAGCTCCGGAGACTGAGGAAGGAAGATCACAAGTTCAAAGCTAGCCTCAGCAAAAGTGAGGTGCTAAGCGACTTAGAGAGACCCTGTCTCTAAAGAAAATACAAAATAGGGCTGAGGATGTGGTTCCGTGGTCAAGTGCCCCTGCTTTCAATCCCTGGTACCCTCCCTGCTGCAAAAAAATAATAATAATAATAATAATAATAATAATAATAAATAAAATAAAAATACTTGGAAAAAGAAATCAGCTTTAATAGTAACCTTGAGAAGGTTATATATTTTCAGTACACTCTGGTGATGTCCACTTTGTTATTTCAAAGATTTTTTTTTTTTGTCTTTTTCCTTATTTTCTGTAATGGACTTAAGGTAACATCTCATAATGGAATTTGAAGTTGAGTAATAAGTATACTGCAACCAATTTAGTTAGGTTTGTTATGAAAATTAAAACAATAAAAGAAAATATCTGGTTATTTTCATTTGTTTGTTTACATGAGATAGAATAATTCTGTTCCCTGAGACATGAAAATTAGTGACAATGAGGCAATTTATATTCTCTGTAAACTAATTGTTGGAGCTATTTTAAAAGTACAGAATCCATCAATGGTAGGAAACTAGCAGACAAGAACAAAATAACTTAAAATACTTTAAGTAAGAATTTGTTCATGCAATTTTTAATCAATTGCTCCTAAAGCCTCTATTAGAATTTATGTTTATAAAACTTTCTATATTCAAAATACTTCTGTTCATTATCTCAGGTTCCAAGTTTGAAATATCTCCCTACACTTACAGTTTCACAGTATGAATGGACTTAAAAGATATTTAGGAAATTTTGGTTTCTGCATTCCTAACTAGCTTTCCCATGATTTTAGAGCAGTGTTTCATAAACTTCATTGTGCCTAAGAATCCTTAAGGAACCTGTTAAAAATATATATTGATGGGATTTTTCTCTAGAGAGTCTGTTTCAGTAGGCTTCTTAGGACTTAGAAATGTGCATTTTAAGCAAGTACCATTGTACCAAAAAATAAATAAATAAATAAACAAGTGCTCCATGTGAACTAACATCTTTACCTAATGGGTTTAAAGTTATTGATAAGTAAATGTGCTCATGGTAATCAATTATTATTTAGTACACTAGCCTCTATTCCACTATCAAATCCATATCCACTGCTTATAAAGGATCCAGAAATCATTGCACATATTTTATTCAAAGAAGTTATAAGAAGTTATAAGTACAATATTTAAGATAATGAAGCAAATATTTGGAGGAGTTGACTTCCAGGAAAAAGATAAAGCTTTCCAATGATATGAAATAATGGGATGTGCAAGACCTATCAGATATCTTAAATCCAGATTATATATAAAAACCTATTCTTTATACTGTTGCTTGTTCTTCTGCTTTGAGTATATGAATTATCTTTTTTGGTCATAAACTAAATCATGGATGTCCCTTTTTTCCCCCTTCCATTTATATTCAAATCCTTTCTCAACCACAGAGCAACCATCTAAACCTGAAATTATAAGCAAAGCACCATTTCTGGAAACAGAGCAGCTTAAAAAGGTAAGAACTTGTTTTTGATTAACTGCTTTTTACTTAGTCTAATGTTGAGTGCATTTTCCTGGCCTCAGATGCCACAACAAACAAGATGGCATTCGCTCACATGGAGTAAACAGTGTTGCAGGTGCCATTCAGAAAGTACACAGAAGGTGCAGTGGGAACCCTATGATCACTGTGCCTATGGCCATGATGATATGAAGGATGGTGTGGTCATTTCTGAAGGGAGAAGTTCTTGTTATTTGAATGAACTGAATGTTTAATACAGCCAATGAAAGATGAGTAGATTTTCTCCAGGGTAAAGATAGCAAGTGCTTTCCAACAATATGGAGTAATGTGATATGAAAGAGAATGACATGTAATGACATTTTGAGAAACATCAACTTTTGGTATTTCTGAAACCTTGGTTTCTAAGAAGTCAAGAGAGTATGGAAAGAGATAAAGAGAAGCTGAATCATGAGAAGTCTTATACACTACATAGGGAGTTGGACTATTATATTGACAAATTAAGCCATTGAAAGTTTGAAATAAAAATGTGAGAAGATCAGATTTTAACAATCACATTAGCAAACAAAGAGTAGCAGTACTGAAGTGGGGGAAAGCATAAACTGAGTAATGCTCTCATTTTGACCAGCTAAAGTACCTAAACTTTCTTTTGTGTGTGTATGTATGTGTGTGAAAACATGTTCTTTGGATCATATTAAATTTTAATACACAATGTTATTTGATAAACACTTAACATTAGTCCAAAATATAAGTAGAATGAAACTGGAGAAGCAGCCAAGTCTTGATACCAACTGTTTCTTTCATGTGAAGATCCAGAAGTCTGATAATAGTCAATGTTACTGGAGTTATATCATGCTACTCAGTTACGGTTTGAGCTGAATATGTCAAAATAAATTTGCCAATGCCTTTAAGTGATTGTGATTTTATCATTAGTGGCAGGATCTATTGCACATTTAAAAATGGGTAAGGCTATATTTTTAATATAACAAAACATTGTTTTTATAAAAGAGAGCATGTATTCAGTCAGTCAATGTCAGAAGATAAATGAGTCAAGACACTCTGCGTTTCCTAAATATTCTAGGGCTTCCAAATTGACAGGCCCTCATTGAAACAAAGAAATGTTATTTCCCTTTTATTTTTCAGTTGGGTGACTGCATTTCAAAAGACAGCTACCCAGATGGCAACATCACATGGTACAGAAATGGAAAAGTGCTATCACCCCTTGAAGGAGGTGAGTATGAGGTGGGCAATACATTCAAAAGACCTGTTTTGATTTTCTCTTGCCTAGGCATTTTCTAGACTGTCTAGGATCTAAATATGCTGTCCTCTTATTATATAGAACTCTATGCTTTGTTAGTTTAAGTATCCAGTAAATCATTACATGATTTTTAAAATATCATCTTAGCCCTTATGCAGTAGAATTAAGAGCAGAGAAAATTATTTCTGTACATGGCATGTTCTAGAAGTTAATTAAAGCAAGTGGGAGATAGGATTCCAGGATACTATTTTTATCTATGTCTTTTGAGTCATGGTTCTGAAAAGGTATCCTACCTCATGGTATGTCAATTTTATCTCCTGTTAAATACAATTAAAAGAACAATTAAAACACTCAAAGGTATTATGATATTTAATTAAGGATTGTTTTTTTTACAATAAAGGTTGTATCATTACTTCTTCATTCTTTATTTTCTCCAGCGGTGGTCATAATTTTTAAAAAGGAGATGGATCCAGTTACTCAGTTATATACCATGACTTCATCTTTGGAATATAAGACAAGCAAGGCTGATGTACAAATGCCATTCACCTGCTCTGTGACATATTATGGACCAAATGGCCAGAAAACAATCCATTCTGAACAGGCAGTCTTTGATATTTATTGTAAGTAACTCAATGAATAATTTTATAACTGTAATATATTAGAAATAATATTCAAATACTAATAATCTCTTTGAAATTCCAATCTAATTTGTCTTTGGATTCTGCTTCCAACCTCCATTCTGAAGCCATGGCATCCAAGTAATCTCTTTCTCTTTGATAGAGAGAATAAATGCTTACCCATCTTAAAATATAGTTCACTTTACACTGTTCTTATGAGCATCTCCTGTATTCTTCCTGGTATTAAGTTCCTTAATGATAAGATCTCTAGCTTGGGTAAGTCCTTCTGGTAGGCCACATACCTAGTACAGCCATGTATTTTGTAGGAACTCAAAAAATCTTATTACCATTTACTGAATGAATGACAGACAAATATTGACTTATGACCAACTAGCTTTCTGAGTGGGGGATTGCTATTTTAATAAAGATTTATTTTAATAATTAGGTCTGTCTATTACCTAATTTAGATAGGATGCTATATTCCAAGATATTTTGGATAACTAAGTCATAAATTTGAAACATAGAATATTAAAATAAAAAGAAATTTTCATGTTCTACTGTTCCAATTCCATTATTTTATTTAACAGTAATATGAAGTACAGAAATGTCCTGTAAATTAGCTATAGAGACTGGAATAGAATCTTTTTCTCCCCTACTGGGCTCTCTTTTGAATGACAGATGCAAAGATAATCTAATGATTTAGAGCAAAGATGTTGGTGTTCCAGTCCCCGTGTTATCAATTACTGTACATTTCTAGAACAGTAGCTTAATTACCATAAATTTCAGTTTTCATAGCGTGAAATGGGAAAAATATAACATCTACTCATAATGTTGTTATGGAGATTAAGAGATATCACAAGTCTAAAATAGCATAATGCATCACACATGAAATGCTCTGTAAGCATTATTGTGATGATTACTATGTAGTATCACTACATAAACAATGTAGACCTGGAGATTTTGAGGGGAAATGCAATAAAGAGTTTCATTATTATCTAAAGTGAACAAAAAATAGTTGTACCCTTATGTATTCTAGAATAACCTAGCACTTCCACATATATTCTGAAGGATAGGTAGAAATACGGGCTGAAACTTTTGAACAGTTTTACTTCACTTACATTTCTGTTGGGTTCTCTGAGGCACAGAATCTTAACATAGAAACAAAACTGAATTTCAAGACTTGTCCTAATGTTAAAAGGTTGTTTTGCCTTAAACTTGGTAGATGATTTCCAACTTGATTTAAAAACAGGAAATTTGAATATTCTATTATTTATAGCATATTTAAAATCAATCTGTTTTTTCTATAAATAAAGGCTATTCATAAATAAACCCTCTTGATATAAATGCAGAGGTACAAGATAGGAGAGAATGTCAAGATGAGTAATAAGAATAGGGAAATTGGCTTAAGAAGAGGAATGAATGTGAGTCCCAGGCAGGCAGTTAGGTGCCCAGTGAAATCCTTGGATGCTTAAGAAGGAAATGATTTTACCCTGCTGGCTGTGAACAGTGCAAGTGGCATGGCTTTTGAGAAAACCCTGTATGAAATGGTGGGCTTCATAGTGAAGACACAAAGGGGCTTCAAATATAGTCCTGACATTTGAGGAGTTTACTATTCCAGTAGAGAATTAAGACACCTACATTAGAAGGAAATTGTTAGTGTAAGGTTGCAGGTGGTGAATGTCACAGGAAGTCACAGAAGAGTCCTAAAAGCTCAGGTATCCAAGGACAGATGATCTCAAACTCTCACATGCATCAGAAGAATCCTATGGACTTGTTAGAACACAGATCGCTGGATCTCATTCTCAAGTTTCTGACCCAGTAAAGAAGGGAAATGCTTCATACTTTGAATTTACAACAAATTTCTTAATGACTAATGCTGCTGATCTGAGGACCACACTTGGAGAACCACTGCTCCAGGAAGGCTACAGAGAATAGAAAGCTAAATGAGAAATTATACTCAAGAAAAAGAATTCTAATGAATTTAACTTGAGAATTCTTGAAAAAAAATGCACCAGTCCACTTATCCCATACTCTAGACAATCGCTAATAAAATTGCAGAGCATCTAACTCTTTAATCTCCATGTTTACCTGATTTCTGCTATGGGTACTGCCTAAGTTTATGCCACCATTCTTCATTGCCTATGTTTCTGCAATGATTTCCAAAATAGTATTCTTCTTGTCTGCCTATTTTTCTATGCTCAGCCTAAACAAACTACTCCAAGCTGATGCCAGAAACATCTTTCTGAAACATAAAATGGAATAGAGTTACTGCCATGATTAAAAATCTTCCATGACTCCCCAGAGCTCCCAGATTAATCTTTACACTCCGAATTTCAATATGTCTTGAGTCCCCAATATATCTCAGCCTTCATTGCTGCACTGTATACTGTACCCCACTGTGGACCATTCTGTTTTCTAGATTCCTCCAGTAGAGTACTGTTTACATGCCTATCTATGTGCCGCTCTTGTCTTGCTTTTGTCTTTTAGCACCGACTTATTTTTCAAAACCTGGTTCCAGGGTGAATTGCTCCTGTAAACTTCCCAATACTACTTGTCTAGCACCAACAGTGATCCAGTGCTCACATCATATGCAGTTTTAATGTTGTCATAATATTAATTGTTAAGTTTGGTGTTCTCATAGAGTGAATGATTATTAAGCGAGGGAAGATCTCATTTCAGTTTTATAATTCTACCACTTAGTGCTTATTTGAAATAGATACTAAGCAAATGAATTAATGATTGGACAGAGGGATGCATGCATAAAAAAAGCTGAGTAGACTCTTTCAGTTATATTGTAGGAGTTTACTTAAAGTAGTGAGATATGAGAATCTCTCATATCTCAGTTATATTGTAGGAGTTTACTTAAAGTAGTGAGATATGAGAATCTCACTTAAGCTACATACAAGCTAAATTGTGGATATCAAGATAAAATAATTTTTATTTCAGATCACTGTTATTCAAAATGTTACTTCTGGAAGCTGCTTCAGAGGAAATAGTTATGGAAGGACAGAGGAGAAAGGCTCAAGGTGACAGACCAAATGAAATTTGATGGCAGTATTTCAGGGCAGGTTAATTAGGGCGTAAACTAGGGAAGTGTTGGTGGGAATAGAAGAGGAGAATCAAATGCAAAATATGCTGTGAAGTATTAATCACTGAGACTTGGTGATTGAGTGGGTAAGAGAGGGCAAAGGAGGAAGTCAGAGTAACAGCAAGAATGATGACTTACTAATGGGCAGAGTAAAATTCAAAGTCAGGGGCAAAGGGAGAACAAGAGATCATTAATTTTGTTGTAGGCATGTGAGTGGCCATCCAGAAAGTGACTGTTAAAATCCAAATGTGTTGTGACAGACTTCTGATCAGAGTTCAGTTTTCAACTCTTTAAATGCAGAACAGAACCTACTGAAAAGGGAAGGCAGAAGAGCAAGTTAGACTGATTGTGATCCCTAGCTGTTCTAGAGTCAGTGTTGATCTGAGATGCACCACAGTGATGTGCTGCCAGCCAAACCTGAGTGCTAGTCAGTTAAGCGCCATGTCTAAGAGTGAGTGGGACCCAGAAATGCAGTTCAGTGGGAAGCAAAAAGCAAACTTTACTCACTTTGCAGCTTCACTGGGAAATGCTGATTGGAGAACTACGTTAAGCAAATCCAGAAAAAAAAATAGATAAAAATAAAAACAAAAAGCATCCATCATTGTGCAGCCTCAGAATATTCTGGCTAAATATTCAGAGATGCCTGAACATAGAGAAATGACAAAGAAGCAGTGCATAATCATGCTTCTAAGAATTCCTCTGCAAGTTAATTGTAGACGGGCGAATAAATGACTGCAAAAAATAGAACAAAAAGCCCACCAAACTATCATTTGCTCATTTCACTTTACTAGCTAATAACAAAATAGATCTTTGTAGAGATGTTATTTTTAATGGCACCAATTTGAAAATATAAGCATATGTCTCAATAAGTATTACTTCTTGTATGAAAGATTCTGTAAAATAAACCTTTGGATTATATGATTTCTAAATTAATTGTTCATTGCATATCCAATAGTATAACAAATGGATATGTAAGAAAGCAAGTCATTTATTATAGCCACCACTACCTTCTCTTATTTCATGTTTTCTAAATATGGTTCCATTGTATCCAGCCTTTAGTTTATTTAGCATTACACTGTTGAGCAGTAGTCTGTACTAAAGAATACTCTTTAGCCCTATTTTCTCCACAAAATGACCAGAATGGAATGAAAGTTACATCTTGGCTTCAATGAACAAGACAGAATTACAATGCACTTATAGTCCTGTTGATTGTGTTAAGTGTCTCTCTCAGTTCATAGGATTCATTGTTCTGAAAGCAGATCTGCTCTCCTGCATGCCAGAAATCTTGCTAGTGTTTAGCTCATGTCTCCTTTTATTTAGTACAAGGTATTATTATGTAATATGAATGCAGTGGGACCTGATAGCTTCAGTGACTTTGCTAGCTGATTTAGTCTTTCCAAACTATAAGATTCATATAACATAGTTAAATTTCCTTATAATGAAGTCATACCGTGAGGTTGTTCCTACTGGTCTTTTACACATAAAATAATTACAATCATTCCTACCTCAGTTAAGGACATTTTGCTAAGAAGAAATTGATTTTTATGTAATAGGGTCTCTTTGTAGTTTGCTCTAACTATGATTAGTGCTTGGTATAGCAAGTGACTATTAACTTCAATCCTTCTATAAAAAGATACATTTAAGTAATTACCATTACTAGCTTCTTGAGAAAATTGTGTATAATTTAGTCATTTACATTGTATGCACAGTAATTTGGTACTTGACAAAAATGGTTAACTTGTGCCTGTGGCTCTTGCAGATCCTACAGAGCAGGTGACAATACAAGTGTTGCCACCAAAAACTGCCATCAAAGAAGGGGACAACATCACTCTTAAGTGCATGGGAAATGGCAACCCTCCTCCTGAGGAGTTTTTATTTTACTTACCAGTAAGTGCCTAAGTATTACTTGAGCTTGACTGCTATCATTTTGTCCTGTTGTTTGGCCTCTAGCTAACATCCAGAATTGTATGCACTTAGATGGCTTAAGTGAGAAAGAATGCTATTTGGGGGCAGAAAAAAACACCACCTGTAGAATATCCTTTGAAAGCTTTTGTGGCACCTGACAGTGTTCTTGCCTTTGCTCAACTTTGAGAGATTTCAGAGACAAAGAGGTAAAAAAACAAAGCTGACCACAGGAAACCATAATTGCGGAAACTCAAGGTTTAATTGTTCGCATAAGTTATAAGAATATGTTCATTATAAGTAGATAACTATAAACAGAGATGATGACAGCAAATGGTCAGAAGTGGATTCTCTCTCTACCCATAGTGTGGCCCTGAGCATACCTCTGATCTCCTGAAGTAAGAATAGTTTTGTTGCATATTATATTCAGCTTGATAGAATTATGCTCTGAACTGTCTCTTCTTGTCATATATAATCTTAATTTTTCGGTTCCTAAATTCTTATCCATATCATAGCTGACAGAAATAATATGCATTGAGGATATTTTGGACAATTCCTCCAGAAGAAATAATTTGCTTGTGTTCTGGATGTTGCAGTGATAAAGAACCTAACTATGAAAGAGCTTTCTAGGGATTCTTTCCTCCTGTAGCTTCATGTTTGACATCACCTTTGCACAGGGACAAGCCATGTATAACTCAATACTACATTTCCTGCAAGGATGTCCTTATGAATCTATCCACTATATTATTAGGAGTATGCAAAAATATCATTCACCACATTACTGAAAAGACTAGCCTAAGTAATTCTTTATAAACTTAAATGTTGACAGAAAGCTTTGTTTTGCCTATTAAATTGACATGCTGCTTTTGTTTCATTTGCAAATTGAAATTTTAAACTAATTAGGTTTTCATTTTGGCTATCAGGAATGACAAAGCCATATTTATGTCTCAATTTTAGCAACAATATCTGCTGCTTATCTTTTTTGACATTGTTGTTAACATATACTCCTACTTCATCCGTATTTTTCCAATTCTTAATTTGTTATTATTTTCTTTTCTAGTTCTATTTTATTTTTCTCTGCCCCTTTTCTCTTTTTTTCCCTATTCCAATTCTTCTCGGTCCTTCCTTTCTTCCTATCTTTCCTTTTAATTTGAATATATGGAATATTTTCTTTTAAACTGTCCCAAATCTTTTTGTCTAATTAGGTAACACATAAATATAAAAATAAAATATTGGACATCTTTAAAAATTTGCTTTAAATCTCAAACATAAACCACACTGTCATAAAACAGATATCCTCAGTATAATACAAGTTAGCCTTCAAAATTCCTTGAAACATAAATATTATTTCTCTAGAAATTAGATGTTGGTAGCACAAGCTTTACTTTTTTTTTTTTTTTTTTTTTTTTTTTTTTTTATAAAAAAAAATTTACTTTTTTTTTTTTTTTTTTTTTTTTTGGCCATTCAAAGAAACACATTCCCATTTTCTTCCCTTTCTGATAAAATGCCATCTTCATCAAGAAATACAACTGTTCTCATTGTAGCCACCACATGTATGTAATCATCTGACATTTTGCTTCTATCTACAGGGACAACTGGAAGGAATAAGAAGCTCAAATACTTACACATTGACAGACGTGAGGCGCAATGCAACAGGAGACTACAGATGCTCCCTGATGGACAAAAAAAGCATGACGGCTTCCACAGCCATCACAGTCCACTGTAAGTCGCCTTCTCCGGTACAGCGTTATTTCAGAGGCACCTGGTAGTTTAACATGGCTGTCTTTTCTAATAAATTGACTCTATCTTTTTCATAAATACCGTGTTTGGACAGAATGGTAAAGATCATCAGAATAAACTTGACTGTGGTCAGGTTGGCACTATAGCTTTGAAACCTTGCCTGGATTTGCTACAACTTTTGCCCATGGTAAAACTAAATGTCTTCAGTTCGTTGTATCAATAAAAAATATTCATATGGATCTTAAGGAAATAACTCATTATAATATATATATATATTTAGGTCTTCATTTTCTTTTATAGTGCTGAGGGTCTATCCCAGGGACTCATGAGTGCTAGGCAAGCACTCTACCACAGACTTACCCTCCCAAACTCTATTTAGACATTCTTCAGGTTCACAAGGTTTGCAGTTGTCTCACGAAAATGTAGATTAAGTATCTTCTTTTCTTATTACAGAATAATATTAACACCCAAATCCAGGAAAAACAAAGTTACTATAGACTGAGCAATTGGAATAGGAAGTGGAGATGACTAAAAGCCATTTGTTGGTTGAATAAGTAAATTTCTGGAATCAGAACCTCTTCAAAATCACCTTGAACATAAATTTATTATTAGCTTTTAATCCACTTTTGCCCTACAGATATTACAAAAGTTATTTTTGGCCCCCATGGCAGTGATGGGGGGAAAAAAGATACATAAAAACCAGACTTGTAATTGAGTTCTTTATTTTGTAATTCCTAAGAGTCCCTATTATTGATGTACATGATGTATCATGGAATTAGTAAACTTATTCATTCATACTACCCACTACTAAGACTAGAGTTCAGAGTATTTTGAGCAAGCTTCAGTCTTCTTGTTCATATAGGCCAAACTTTCCAATAAGTTGTTTGCACCCAACAGTGCCAAGGTTTCCTCTAGACATGGTGATCCACTGAATCCCTTTCATCATGAGGCATTTCTGTGTTTCAAAATTAGAAGAGACTTTACAAATTGTCCTGAACACTTGGTTCTAAACCTCTTACTCTACCAATAATAATGCTTGGAAAACATGTAGTAGAGGAGCTAAATCTTTGGGGGGAGGTAAGAGGGGTACTTTGGGGAATAAAGCCAGCAGATGCTTGCTTTTGATTGTCTGATGTTAGAAGCGCACTCCAGGGAGCCCTGTGCAAACAGTGCACTGCTAAGAAATGTTCACAGCTGAGCCACTCCTGTTTATTCCACACTCCCAGTTGCACAGGATTAAGTTGTTTGCCATCAGGGGATAGTTTGGGAAAAAGCAGTGACCTCTTAGTAGAACAATAGAGCTACTTTTTCTCTGAGGGCCAGTCAGTCATGGGACCATTTATCTAGGCCTGTTTCAAGAAAAAGAAAAAAAAAAAAAGTAAAGCAAGAGAATGTCCCCAACAAATTGAACTGCCTGTGAAATAGCTCTCTGACATTCTTGTTCATGTTTTGAGCATACCAGTGCCTTCAAGATGGCACATTGTGCTTTTGTTTAAGAGATGCTAGGTATATATGACCCTAAAAGGAGAGGGCTCATATTTATATCACTTGTAGGTCAGGCAGGGAGGAATGGAAAACTGACTGACAAGGCAGAAGACTCAGTGGCAGCAACAAGGTGCCTTGATGATTGGCTGATAGCAAGGAAAAAAAAAAAAAGCTAACAGATTTCAATGCATTTAACTGGATTTAAATGTATTTCAGTTTTGACAGGCAGACTATAGTGTTGGAGTTTAAGGCCTGTAATTCACTCTAAAAACTAGAAAAAGGTATTATAAGTCAATCAAAATTTTACTCTGTTATCTGAATGCTACCTAAAACTATATTTGCCCATTTATCTTTGTTTGTTTGTTTTACAAAAACAGGATTTGTTTCCCTTTCATAGATGACTAAAGGGAATGCCGGTAGAGAAGCACAATCTCTACATGCACAGGTTTGCAGAACAGACCTCTCATTAAGACTCTCAGTGTACAGATTCCTGACTGCTGCTGAAACAGCTGCTGCTACTCTGCCAATTCATGCACACAGAGATTCCTCATCAGAACTTTCAAAATCCATCTTTATCCTCTAAAATCTTTTATCTTCTCATTGGCAAGTTAACTATCCAACTAACAAAAGCTCTTAAGTCACAGAGAGTAAAAATTTCACTTTATAATTCACTCAAATATTCTGAAAAAACGCCACTTTTTATGTGATGGTTCTTTTTTTTACTATGAACCATCATTTTTTAATATGTATTAGACTGAGAAACTCTGTTTCTGCCCTTCATTCATTCAACACTAGTGTTTGAGAGCCTACTATGTGGCAGACACTGTGGATGTATCTGAGAAAAAACAAATCCTGGCCAATCTCCTCATGATGCTTGCAGTCTAACTGGAGAGGTGAACATTTAAGATGCAGACAGTCAACAAAACATGTAAAACCATGAAGCAACATAAAGTGCAACAGCAAACCCCTATACCACAGAATAAAGCCCCCAATTCAGTAAGGCAAGCACAGTACTCAGTCTGGCCTCAACTAATTGTCCGTATTTACCTTCTGTGAGTTCTCATAGTCCAGCAGTCATACGGGATCATTCACTATTGTGGAATCTGCCAAGTTCTCTCGCCTCTTTGCTTTTGTTTATGTGGCAAAAGTTGTTCCTACATTTCCACCTATCAGCCACCCACCTTTACAACCACAGGAGCAAGATACAAAAATGAAGGCCTCCTACGAAGGCTCTCTTACTTCTTTGAAACCTAGTTTGGCTTTATTCTTTATACTCCCATAAGTCTTTGTTTTTACCTCTCTTTGTAGCCCTGCCTTTAATCTTTCAACAAATATTTACTGAGCTTCTAATGGTAATAGGTTTGCAACTAGGCACTGACTTCACAGGCTATGTATCTCAGTTGGTTGAGTGCATATCGCCTAATCAATGAGTGCATAACCTAATTAATTTGTACTCAGTACTCATCTCTGTATCCCCCATTAGTGCTTGGAGCACAGTAGCTCTACAATAAGTGTTTGTTCAATTGAATTGGATTTTCCTCATATGGATCATACTGTGACAGTGAGATTTTTGTAAAAATTATTTCCTATGAAAACTTATATCCTTAGATGTAATTCTTCTCTGTTTCTAAAAAATTCTGTTGGCAGTGTACCTAACAATAGATCTTATTTAAAAGTTCACTACATGAGAAATGGAGTAGCATTTTAAAAAAATATCTAACTATTTGTCAATTCTCTCTGCAGAAATGCATAAACTATCTCATGGTTTTTCAATTTATCACCTGCTGTCTAAACATACTTGATTTTCCAACGTTATGCTTTGCCAACTTTTTTTTTAACAATACTTATCAAGTCATCATCTTTCTTTATTTTCTTCCAGAAGCAATTAAATAATTTTTTTTCTTAAGGTGATAGAGCCTAGGGGTATATTTATATGCACTCAAAACATCAATTATGTTAACTGCAAATAAATGCATAGTCAATTAGATTAACCATTCATTTGTCCAAACTGGTCTCAAAGCTGGCTTGAAAATCTAGGATGAAAAAATAGTTATTTTAGTCACATATGTCAGTCACATATGTCTGAGTTTTCAAGTCAATTAGGGTTTTTTTTTTTTGTCTTTTGTCTTTTCTTCTCTGAAATATTTCAACTACTTGCTCTTTTGGAGTTTGCATTTCAAGCAGATTCTCTGCTTCACAGATTTGGATTTATCCTTAAACCCAAGTGGGGAAGTGACCAAGCAGCTTGGTGATGCCCTGCCGGTGTCCTGCACAATATCTGCTAGTAGGAATGCAACTGTGGTTTGGATGAAAGTAAGTCATAGTATTTTTGTTCTATCCTGCTCTTTTGAACTGATTTGCTTTTAGGTTATTTATTTTTTATTCAATGTTATATCCAAAAATGCATATTTATGATTAATATCTTTATACACTCACATATTCGCTCACTTTATCTCATACAAATTGAAACACTATACAATTTTAGAGGTACTTAACAATAGTGTGGCTCTGAAACTTAGTTTGGGCATTACTTGATGTGAGTATTTAGATGAGGATGTGCGTGCATGCTTGTCTACACACAAACATATACAGTTAAGAACAATTTACAGAATGTTTGAATCCACATTATACTTACATGATGCTTATAAAATCCCTGTGGAGTATATAGTTCACTTGTTATTTTCCCCAAGTTACCTGTAGAGAAATTGGCATGAAAGAAATCAGAAAGCCCATGAGCAAGTAGACTCAAGTTCAGTCCTTCTTCAGAGTATTACTGTGCTCTGGTCACACACTTTCTGCCTCCCTGATGATTGGAACTGCCCTTATGTTTCTGAAAGTAGGGTCTGCTGGATTAGGAGCTCCTCAAAGTTAGGGGTCCTTTTCATCCCTGGGCTGTCAGAGAACACCCAGAACATTCTAGGAGCTTAGTATTTCCTGAGTGATTGCTTATATTCATGCAATTGTCATGGAGGACCATGACTTCAGGGACCCAGTCATCGGTATGTTTTTAGAAACAGAAAATAGGATTCATAATTAGTCATTTGACACAAGGAAATGGTTGTAATAATGATCCCTCCACTTAAATCCTTGGCTAGAATATCCAAACCCCCAGCACAATGTGTTACCACAGCATGGCATATAACAAGAGCACCCCACCCACTGATGTCCTGAGGAAATGCACACTCCATTTGACACAGGCATTGAAAAGAATTGACTTTATCAAAACCTGTAGACAAATTTATTGGTGAAGTTTCTTCTTGGTGAAAATATCAGTTATTTTGTATTGCTTTACTATTTGTGTTTTGATTGTTTTTAATGCTAGATTCTCCGTTTCCTGTTTCGCTCTCCTTTAGTCACAGCCTCATCACTCAGGTCATTAATCTGTCACTCTATAGTATGGACGTCAACATGAGATATTTGTAGTAGTCAATGGTCATAAAGCTTGACAGGTTTTAAACAATAATCAATGATGTCATGAACACCCACCGCATGTTTCACTTCAGTACTAGAGAAATGAAAAGTTTGCTATATCAAAAGTAGCTTCTTGGAGCTGTGGCTGTAGCTCAGTGGTAGAGCGCTTGCCTTGCATGTATGAGGCACTGGGTTCGATCCTCAGCACCACATATAAATAAATAAATATTTTTTTTTTTTTTAAAGTAGCTTCTACTTCACCTGCACTCACTGTTGTCAACTAATACTAATGTTAGGAATAGCACTAACACTAATATCAGTATTGCTGATAAATATTCCCGGGGCCATAGTTAGTGATAGCAAGTAGAAAAAAAATCCACATGTACAAAGGACTGTGTTTAATTCTATACTTAGGAGTATTTCAATTCCTGGCAAAAATAGGATTACTTTTATATGTCAGGTGATTTTTTAAACTGAATGTTATATTTTCTTTTTCATAAAGTTTGAGTGGTAATTCTTTTTTGAGGGTTTCCTTTTATTTTTTAAATCTTTTATTAGTGCATTATAGTTATACATACTAGTTAGATTTATTTTGACATAATCATTCATGCATGCAATTTAACTTACTCCATTACATCCCTGGTGCCTGCTATGTCCTGCCCCTGTTCCCTTCCCCTAGTCTGCTAGTCCCCTCTACTGGTCTTTTTTCTGTTTGTTTGTTTCTAATGGTGTTTTAGAGATACACAGAAGGGTAGAATCCACTGTGATTTATTTATACGTATACATAGATTAATTTCATCAAATTCTTTCTGCATCTCTTTCCCTTTCCCCTCCCTCATCTCTCTGTCCAGTATCCTTCTACTCCACTGATGTTCCCTCTGTCCTTAAAATTTCCTTCTTCCCCTTTTTCTTTTACTTTGTTCTAGTTTCCTCATATTAGAAAAAACACTTGACCCTTAATCTCCTGAGTCTGACTTATTTCACTTGTCATGTTCTCCAGCTCCATCCATTTACCAGCCAATGCCATAATTTCATTCTTCTTTATGGCAGAGTAAAACTGCATTGTGTATGTATACCACATTTTCTTAATCCATTCATCTATTGACAGGCACCTGGGCTGGTTCTATAACTTGGCTGTTGTGAGGTGCACTGTTACAAACATTGATTTGTCCGTATCACTAATTATTAAAGCTTTCTTGTAAAAAGCATTCTTATTCTAATTGCTGTGGCTCTATAATGGATCCACTATGTTGATAACTATATCAGATAAGGTAATTTTCAGGCCTGTATACTCATCATTGTTTAGGTATCACAAATCTGAATGTCTGGCAGTTCTACTACGATGAGTAGGGACTGTCAATTGGGGACTTTCTTTAATGTGAACATATTGCATTATTTCTATACTTAAGTCCTCAAAACAATTTAATATAGTAAGAATATAACCTCACTTCACAAATAAAGGAAACTGAGTCTCATCAGCTTATAAACTTGTTCCAAATTATCAATTCCACAAAAGAGAAGTCTGAAATATAACTCAGGCATGTCTGACTCCAAAACTACAATGAAAAAAAGAAAACTCTTTAAAGGCATCCGAGAAAATTTTTTAAATGCTTATGTTTTCATTAGACCCAGAAAAATGTTTTAGTAGTATATGATAAATACATTTAAGCTTATAATTGTGCCTGTGAAGTAATTTACTTTTCATTTAATCAGGATAACATCAGGCTTCGTTCAAGCCCATCATTTTCTAGTCTTCATTATCAGGATGCTGGAAACTATGTCTGTGAAACTGCTCTGCAAGAGGTTGAAGGCCTGAAGAAACGAGAGTCACTGACACTCATTGTAGAAGGTAGTGAAATAACTGGGCACCAAATTGTTCTTTGAGAATCTTGTTGCCTGGTCTTCTGTATGATCTTAGTTCATTGTCATATTTTAATTGTAATGATATTTTAGGAAAACCTCAAATCAAAATGACAAAGAAAACAGATCCCAGTGGACTATCTAAAACAATAATCTGCCACGTGGAAGGTTTTCCAAAGCCAGCTATACAGTGGACAATTACCGGCAGCGGAAGCGTCATAAACCAAGCAAGTATTTGTCTTCTTGTTATATTCTGCACTTGGTCCAAAGTGGGGTTTTATTTAGGCAACTAAAATGCAAGCTAGTTTGTTACTGCATGCAATTTGCAGTGTCCTCTCAGAGAAGACTCTTGCTAAATTCTTAATCTTCCCAAAGGAAGAACATGGCTGAAAGAGAAATTTTAAATCCCAAGGCCATGGAGAATGGAGAAACCATTATTTTGAGATCAGTGTCTGTTTTTAAACAGACTCCATGGTCTTTAATTCCCAAACGGGGTTGATTAAAACATTAAGGTACACACTTTTATGCCTAATAAACTTATACACTTGAGTATAAGCAGCAGCTATTACTTTGCTTAGTTATGCATGTTAAAAGATAATTTTTCTTAAAACTGGGCCCAGTGTGGGAGTGGGGTGTGGTGAACACCGTAAATGGTTATGAACACATAGTCTGATTTGCCTGTTACAGGTTAAGGCCAGAATGAAGCAAGCAGCAAAGAGTGTCTCAGCAGTGTTCTTCTAGCCAAAAGAGGACATAAGCCAAACAATGTCTATACTCCATGTAGGACATTTTAGTAATTTTAAAGGGCTAAGAACTTATAAACACTACCATTTTCTGAGAGAGAAGAAGAGAGAGAGATAGAAAGAGAAATGAATATCTGGCCTGTAACTCTATACTCAGAACTGTAATCCCACTAACTTGCTAGTGTCCGTGGGTTATGTCCGTGACATACTTGTTAATTCCATGTTTTGTGACGGTTTTCATGCCTCTTCATCTCAGTAGAAGCAGTTAAAGACTCTTCAGGAATACCCCAGAGTACCATTTTATTATTTCAATCTTCTTTCCTGCCTTCTTCCTAGCTTTGGACCCAGTTGAAATTGGGAAAGACATATAAATCAAAAAGCTTCAAATTAAATTTCAGTTAGAATCTCTGTTTCCTTTGTCCTGGGAAGTTGGGTCTTTGGTTTACTCCATGTAATATAATTTTGCAGAGCAAAGTGGATCTTGACTTTCACCCATGGGTGATGCATGTATATTTGCATGAGTTTGGATATAGAAAACCCCCAAAGAAGTGGTGGCACATGAAGAAAGTGATTTCTGATTTGATTAGGTATAACAGACACACACAAGTAAGAGACCCTGCCAGAGGAAAGCAAAGAGGCAAAGCCAAAGGAAATGCAGTTTTCTTCATTCAGAATAAAGACCTGACTCACCAGAATTGCTGACGATGTACAGATTAAATCCAAAAAATGAAATGCTAAAAAAAAAAGAAAAGAAATTTCTCTTTTCTACTTTCTTCTTTTTGCTCTCTAGTTCAATTAAGTGATAAGTGCAGCAGAAAAGAACCTTTAGGTACTGGTTATGCAGGCATAGAAAATAGAAAAACAAGCACACAATAAATATCTGACAAACAAAAGAATATAAAGATTGAAAAGGCCATCCTGGAAATGAACAAATATATTTTGAAGACATTAAAGTAGGAAAAACAGTGAGAAAGTCCTATGAAAAATCCTAGAGGAAAGTGGAAAAATAGCAGGTAAACTTACTATGAGAATAAAAATAATAATGCCATTCTTCATTGCCAGGGAGAAAGATTGATCCTGGCCCACTAGGTGATGTGTTATTTTTCTTGTTCCAGATTATCCATCAATAATCTTTTATCTTTTTCCCTCCTCAAACACATGATGAATCTACCTCCTTTCACCTAGGAGATATATCTCTGCCTCTCCTCTGCCCCCCAGGATATAGAAGGTAGCCCACTCTTGTTCTCAAGACACTTACCTTGTAGTTAAGAAAAAAAGCAAAGAGAGAGCCAAGTACCACAGGATACAAATAAAATAACTATGGAAAAAGACCAAGTGTGTATGTATTTGCTTCAGTCATGTTGTACTGAGGAGTCCAATCCCGAGATGAGCTTGAAGGGATCTTTCCTTACATTTGAGGAAGTTAAATACCATGTTCACCATCATTTACACCTCATGACAATCAGAAGTCCTGAAAAAGAATTCACCCTCTGTATTTATCACAGGAAAATTGGGAGAAAACAAATGCTTTTATTCACCTATGAGCAAATAATATATCTATATGCATTTAATATAATGGTTCAAGATAAGGGAATTAACATCTATTGTGAAGAAGAGTATCAAATTCATGAATAGTTCAATTAGAATATTTATCGAAGAAAACTTGTGATTAGATAATAACCATGTTAATTATTTTGAAGCACATACCATCATGCCAAAATGTTGACTAAAATTGAGCCTCTTTGGAAAGAGTTAGATTGATTTAATCATTTGAATTCATAATAGAAACAGAACTCTCTCACTATCGTTTTACTAATTGGTTTTCTACCTGCTGCCACTACAGGCCTGACTGGTCTTACCTGTGATCTTACACCTTGAACACCAGACTACACTACAGTGTACCATACCTGTCCCCTATCATTGACTAGTACTATGTCCCAGGCTTTTAAACTATATTTTCATGTAACCCATCTTCCTTCTTCTTTTTCCAGACAGAGGAGTCTCCTTATATCAATGGCAGGTATTATAGTAAAATTATCATTTCCCCTGAAGAGAATGTTACATTAACTTGCACAGCAGAAAACCAGCTGGAGAGAACAGTAAACTCCTTGAATGTCTCTGCTAGTGAGTATTTCATTTCTGGCATTAAAAAAGTAAGAAAATTTGAAGTTATTCTCCATTAGTTTAAATCCTCCAGTTCCATCTTCCTGTACTGCATCATGGTAAGTTTTATTTATTTATTTTGCATTTGGTGTCATCACCATGAGGTTATTTTTTCTTTTTTTTTCTGGTTTTCATTCTTGTTTTAACAGTTAAATCATTTCATGTTTTATGGATCAGAGGTCTTATCCTACACAGGAAGAATCCCCAAGAGAAACAGACAATAAAAAATAAATTACTCTTCTTAATGTACATTTTATATTCAGAGTATAGACAATTTAATGATTACCTTAAAATATTTTTATAATAGTTTAAATTTGGTAAATTTCAAATTTATTTTATTCTTTATTAATTGACATTCCAAATCTTTGTAGAATTTATCCCAACTTTATTTAAACCAAAATGTCACAAACTTAAAGTCAAGCTAATTGGTAGCAAAACCAATATTCTAATTCATAAAATCTAGTTTCAAAAATTGCTCCTTTTTCATATCATTGCCAAAATCAGATAAAGACAATTTTCTCTGAGAAAAAAAAAAATTTCTCTGTCAATGCTGAAATCAGGGTAACACATAAATACCAATAGCAGCTTCTTTTGAAAATAAATGTAATTTAATGTGAAGTTAGTTACCATCTTCAGTTCTGTTATTATTCTCATTGTTATGTCAGCCTTAAATCAGGATCAGCCTAGAGTGAGGCTTGGTTTTGAACAGGACATTAACTGTTCTGCCAAACTCTTACACTTTCGCAGATGAATCTTGCCTGTGGCATAAGTAGGTGATAGATACAAGAGCTGGGAATTTGCAGGAACTAAGAGAAATAATTGTTTAAAGATAATGGTCCCTAATAAATTATGACTCAAATACAAAGGGCTGATGGACTGATGGAAGAACTAAACAAGCTGAACTTTAGTATAGCAGCATGGACTTCTCTGAATACAATTCAGTTGAGTATTGATTTGTCCTACCAAGAAAGAGAACCTGTCCTTTCTTCCTGAGCACAAGTCTCTTTACTCTAACTCTTTGAATGAGGTGCTTCAGTTTTCTAGACCAGACAGTGGCTTGATCAATATAACCCAGTCATTTTCAAACTCAGTGAGCACCCCATGAGATTCCAATTGAGTGTATGTGAGACAAAGCCTGCAAATCTGCATCTTATCAACCATCACGGGAAGTTCTGGTGCAGGCGTGTGCACTCTGAAGGTTGTTCATATGGTTTATTATTAAATGATAATACACAACAGCCAGCAGTAATTCTGAAAACAGCCCAAGAGCATGGTGCTATCAGAACCATTTGGAGCACTTTGGCAAACATGATGTCATCGCGAGATTTCACTTCCACCTTCATCTCTGCCCCCTTGAGAACAACTCTAATGGGAATTCATTAATCCTAGAGGATGAAAATGAATTCTCTTACATGGGGGGCAGAAAAGTTGAGGAAAATGGCAAGTTAGGTACTAACTTGTTTCTCCTAAAAGGGAAGTTGTAGTAATAGGTGGCAGCTAGTGAAAAAATTAAAGTGGATTCCAAATTAGTACTATAGCCTCTTGGTCATGAAAATTTCTGTGATGGACTTTGCATTTTCCTTAAACGACATTAATTGCTTTGTAGAGAAGTTTGTGTTCTATAAAGTATGGATTCTTTTTTACCCTGAGCTGTAGAATAGATATTTTATCTGAGTGTTATTACATCATACTATAATGGTAAAGGTGACTTTCATATATCAACAAATTTTGTTTTTAATTTCATATTAACATTTTTCATTTCAGTAAGTATTCCAGAACACGATGAGGCAGACGAGATAAGTGGTAGGTACTATGCTGCCAACTCCTCTTCCTTGACTATCAGCTCAAGATTTACGAAGTGTCATTGTATAAGTAATTTCTTAGTCGTCCACAGTGTGGATGTGAATTAAAATACCAAATGGGACAAGATAGCAAAAATGCTAAAAATTACCTTTTAAGATCACAAGTTTGCATGTTAATCATAGTAGTGAAACTTAGTCATTTTTAGTAATAACTAGATTGGCTTCTTTTAAGAAGTTCTTGGCATTGTCTGTAATTGCATGGGCTTCTCTTTTTTTGTTGTAGATGAAAACAGAGAAAAGGTGAATGACCAGGCAAAGCTAATCGTGGGAATTGTTGTTGGTCTCCTGCTCGCTGCTCTCGTTGCTGGTGTTGTCTACTGGCTGTACATGAAAAAATCAAAGTAAGTTATGTGAAAAGATGTTTATTGTTCATTGACTTTTACTGAGAGAAAATATGATGTGTTAATTATGCTCACATCAGCTACGCATGTAACTTCTTTAATAAGACAGACATATCCCCCAATCAGGCTGACCATATTTTATTTTTGTTCATAGTGAATACATAGCCACTTGTTACTTGTTATTGCAGTAACAAGTCTAGCCATCTAGTATAAGCCTTAAAAAAATCATGTAAGAGTGTCTTATAATGAAAATCCTAAAGCAGTGAAAATTCTTGGCATACACATGTCTAGCCCCGCTTACCACCCTAGATTCAGATGCAAAGGGGCAGGAGTAGGGTTCTAGCTTTGCCTTTTTTAGAAGTTCCACTGGTGTTCCTATGGCATACTCCTGGTTTCAACCATTCCTCATTTATGGGATATTTATAGCTAGTAGTAACTTTTGACATGATTTTGTATTTTATTTATCTCTGACACACTCCTTTAAAAAATTCAGAATATCTTACTTAAAAGAAAATGAAAAGAAAGACAGACTCATCGGGATCCATGCTCTTACTCTACAAAGATGTCATTCCAATGAAGCAATATTTGAATAGAGCTGCCATGCAAGGGAAGAAGTAGCTTGATAATTTTATAATCACATAACATGAGAATGCATTGAGCTTGTTTGTTCTCACAGTATATCTATAAAGTAAATAGCATTATTATTCATATTTTACATTTGAAAAACTTGAGGCAGAAAATGGTTAAATAAATTTCTCAAAGTAACATATTATAAGGGACAGAATTATTATTTGACTTAGGGGAATGATGTTTTAGAATCTTGTACTTAATCCCTAGGCCTAGCTTTATCTCTGATAACTTACCTTCCCTGCTTTGCTAGAAGTCCATGCAATTACAGGCAAAAACGTGTTTTCTGTTGTATGTTGTGACCACTATACATGATATCTATCCCCACATTGGGGAACAGTTTCCTCCTGATCCTGGAACTTCATTCCTCATTCTTGAGCCTTCCTCACCAATACCTTGTGGATTGTTAGTATGTATTCTACAGAGAATCACACTAGAGAGAACAAAAGAGAGAAGTTTTATTATAAAGAATTGTCTCACATCATTATGGAGGCTGAAAATCTGGAGATCTACGGTCAGCTAGCTGGAGACCCAGGAGACCTGATATGTTGTTCTAGTCTGCGTCCAAAAGCCTGAGAACCCAGAGAGCTGATGCTGTTTCTACTCTGAAATCAGGCATGATGGAAACTTAGGAAGACCCAGTGTTTTAGTCCAAGTCTGAAGGCAGGAACAAAACAATGTCCAGATCAGGGTTGAGGCCAGAGGAGTTTCCTCTTTCTCTCTAAGCCTTCTCAATCCTGTTCAGATCTTCAGTTGATTGAATGATGTTCACATCCATCATCCATAAGGGAAGGCATTCTGCTTTACTCAGTCTACCAATTCAAATATTTATCTCATCAGAAAACACCCCACAGCATGAGCAGAATAATGTTTTACCAAATGTCTGAGCACCACATGGCCCATTCAAGCTGACACAAAAATTAACTATCACTCTTGGTAACAAGTGCATTTTTTTTTTCTCAATGAACATATAACCTACAAATATGTCACATGAGTTTGTATCCATGGTATTTCATGGTATCCATGAAAGTGAAAAGAAATACAATTAGTTGCCCAGCAGAAGTACCTATCTTATAGAAGTTCTTAAATGTATAAGTTTCCTGCTTATCAAAATCTTGTCTTCCCTTTATAGTCCATGATAAAGCACAAATCTAGGAAATTTAATTTTTATATTAGGACTTTTGGTGCACTCCATACCAATTTTTTTTCTTAAAAAAATAAAAATAAAATTTCCCCTTTTCCTGAAAATTAGCTGAAAAATGGACTGTGGTTCTCTAAATTATGGACAAAGGAATGTTAAACTAGGGAAGCAATCCATTGTCTTAATCATCTTATTGTAATGGCCAGTATCTCATTCTACACAATTTGTCATACGAATAAAAGAAATTTTGTATGTTTGCGTGTTATGTCATTAGTTATTGGCATATGGTGACCCCAAATTAAAATGACATAAATAAATATTGGACACTTAGCTCCACAGTGTCTTTAGGTTAAGGCCTTAAGCATATCCTTTAAAATGTGTCATGAAATTAAGTATAACTTTTACCATCTGACTTGAATATTCATCTAAATAACTGTTATTTAATTGAAAAGTGCACCCAATTTGGTAGAGTTAATATTATTGGTAATCAAAGTAATGAATTGCAGTTCTCATCCCAAGAATCAAAGGGTTTTTATTAAGAATTCCACAAATTCATGCTTCAGATTTGCTAAGTGCTTTGCACTCCTGGTTAGTTGTTCCTTTTCTGTGCCCTCTAAAATAAACAGGCAATTTTGTGAAATGAGTTGGTGTCCTTAACCCCTTCATTTGTTCAGAGTAAGTGCAGATTCACAATAAGAGCTTTCAAGTTAAGAATTTCTAAGCTAGCAAAACAGTGAAGTTTTAGCAACATTTAAGGGAAGTTCTTTGTATTTTCAGTATTTCTAAAAATCAATGGAGAGATAAGATAAAATAGTACTTTATTCCTAAGTAGAATTAAGAATGCATTTGTTATAGGTCTAGTGCCTCCTCAGCCTGTGTGTACTCCCCATTCCACTAATAGGAGCCACTTCTATTTCCAATATGGAGAACTGCAGCAAGAAGTATTTAGTCAGTTGTATTCTTTTCTCACTATGCTAGGTTATATTCATCAAAGAATGAGGACTCATGACTTGCTCTTTAATTCCTATAACTTCTTATGGAAAGATTTTTAAAGCTAGAGATAGGTTTTGGTAATGACAATATACAACTGATTATTTCCATATATTTACAGTATTAAGTGACAGCATCATCCAAAAGACATTAATTAACTCAGTCCACTCCTTGACAAGTGTTTAATAGATAAAGGAGCATTATAAAACAAGAGATTATTTCATGAATATTATTTACATTCCTCTCTACCTGTCCTTCAAACTGAATTCTTAATTCTGCAGGAAGTTAAATGTTATTATTCGAGATCCAAACCCTCTCCTGCATACCTTGTAGTAAATACAAGAACTAATGAAAACTTAAGAGATCTGAATATAAAGGAAAAGTGCAGAGGCTGCATGATATAGCCATGAACTTCTTCAGAAATTTATTAAACTATAATTTCCAGGTTGATTTCATTGAAGAGACCCCAAACCCATACTTTTTATTACTAAGATGGGAGCACGCATTAACCAGACATTTGTGATCTTAAAATACTCATTGTATAAACCTTGAAACTTACCAAAAGATTTACTTTCACAACTGTGGAATTCAACAATATTGTCAAAAAAGATGGTATAATGTATAGACAGTCCAGAAATCTAAAAATCACAAATGGCATATGTGAATCCTGCCTCATATAATGCTATATTATTCCAGGAATCTTTCATAAGAAACAGAGACAGTTCCAACATTAGCTCAAGAGCTAACAGTGATGTGCCTATAACACTGAACTCCAAAGAAACAGGCTAGATTTAGGTGTGCCAAAACCCTCCCTGTGAGTATGCCTTGAAACGTGGAATGGGATATTACAAGAAAGCTGACTTTAACTGAATTCTATTTTTGAATCAATACTCTAAAATCAAATACACGTGCCCATGAGGGAGGAGGGATCCCCACTGAGAAAATTAAAAAGATAGTGCTGGAGGACCAGGGAGAGTACATTTTTAATGAATTTCCTCATTTACCACTTCACGAGCTCCTACTATTATTTTTTCCTTTCTTTTTTACTTTCTTGGTATTTTAACAAAATCTCAGCAATTTAATGAAGTATATATATAATTAACCTAATTTCATAACATCTAAGTGTCAGTGGGATTAACCTGCCCAAGTTATTATAAGTAGTATTTTTTCTCCCAAACCTTATATACATTCAAATATATTTTGCTGCCTTGCCAGGACCTCTTTGCAATTTAAATTCTGCCCTGACTTCAGTTGCCTGCTGGCATTTAATGCAAGGTTGTGGAGAAAGGCATGGGCTTGTGAGCACAGGGCTGCTGCAGTCTCTCCAGTGGTATTAGAAGTTGGAATAATCCATGACTTGACTTCTCTTTTCTCTACCCATAGTCTGGCAGGCAGCCAGAAAAAGGAAGAAAAGAAAATGATGCATTATTCCATCAAACCATAAATAATAGACTAGAGGGGAAATTGGATAATGTGGAAGTGCCAGAGTTTCCTTCTAGTTAAGTATAGGGCCATTGGACACAAAGGACAGAACCATCACTGGCCCTCCCCTCTTCTATCAAGGTGACCTGAAAGTTTTCAGGGAAATGTCAAATATAGTGTTTATATCAAAAATAATGTTTTCATTTTTTAAAAATCATGTTGGTTTATATTATCTTTTCCAAGGTATTAGGGAATAAAGTCCTGTTCCCTGCCATGAGACAGGCTGTGCTGGCTCAGTATTGTGCACCTCAGGGCACACTGAACCAGGATATAGAGTGCATGCGGGCAGCACCCTGTTTTCATACATATTCAGTATTGTTGCACTTACTTTGATCCTTCAATCTTTTGCCTAATGAATCCTTCCATATTCACTCTTGGATAAGATGGAAAGGTCATTTTCTGTTTTTTATTGAGGATATAAGCCTTCTTTCTTTTAGTGAGGAATATCTTTGTAGAGTCTTAGAAATTCTAAGGATATAAAATTGAAAGTTGTAGGAATAAGGCTATTTATTCTTATCCACTTCTTTCTTCAAATCAAGAAACTGCTGGCAATTCACTCAACAATGATTAGGGCCCTCCTCTCTACCTCTAGCTTTCATTAAGTTTGGCCCAAGAGGAGACTCATTCTGCTGACAGCTATGATCAGGGAAAAGGGAAAAATAACTATTCTCTTGGACAGGACTCTAATTACCTGTACAACTGTCAATGGCCAGTTTGCTGAAAGTGGTAACTCTTCACTGCCAAGGTCGCCATCCTGAAT